AAGAGCAGTGAATCCCTCCCAGTTCTTCTATGAGTACAACATTGTCTTGATACCAGAATCAGACAAACACTATATCCCTCATGAATACTGATCCAAAAACTCTCAACAAAATTTCAGGAAACTGAATTTAATCATGCATAGAAAGGATACTATATCATGAGCAAGTGGGATGATACCAGGAATGCAGGAGCAATGTTTTAACACTCAAAAACCCACCAATGTATGCTTATGCCCCTCTTGGACCGAGTATGGCGGAATCTCTGGGACTGGGTCCTGGCATCCACATTTCTTTCGAGCTTTCACAAAAACTGTGAACCACTGAGATGCTCGCACATCTGCATTTTCTTAGTGACATGTCTGATCTCTTCTGCATTTTTAGAAATCTATTTTTATTTAGGGCCAAATACTGTCTTTCATCTTTGTGGCATATTTGTGATACTCAGCTGGTTCTATTATTCTCTTTCCACCAGGGAACTAAAATGATGCCTCTTCCACCGTTCTGTAAGACAATAATACACCAAGAGTGCCAACTACCCTGACCTTTCGGTGCCATGGCACCTGGCCAACAAATCCTTGTCTTCTGTTTATTGCGTGTGATGATGGATGAGTCACCCAGTCTGAGTGGATTTAGTGTTCTAATTCATGAAATAAGAGAACTGGACCAGATAAGCCCAAAGTTTCTTTCAGGGCTAGATAATCATAACTCTAAAACAGCTATAGTGAGATGCCTGAATGGATATACTGGCATGAGATTCAAGCTTTTGGCAGCTTGACACAGTTGACAATTGTTTGTGTGATACCATCGCTATCATCGGCAAAAAAGAATGTCCCATTTTTCAAAAAGAAAATAAATCAAAAGTCCAGTCAATCAGCCAAGGGTTCCCTGATTCAATGATGTAACTGAGTCCCGACTCCGTACTAGGCACTGGGATGCATTGGTGAATGTTGTGTGTAGACCCAGCCCTGGCCTCGTGGCATCTGCATGCTGCTGCTACTGTTGGGTGATGGAGTGACTCATTAAAACGTCAGCCAGGCGCGGTGGCTCACGCCTGTAATCCCAGCACCTTGAGAGGTCGAGGCAGGTGGGTCAGGAGTTCGAGAGCATCCTGACCAACATGGAAAAACCCCATCTCTACTAAAAATACAAAATTAGCCAGGTGTGGTGGCCCATGCCTGTAATCCCAGCTACTTGGGAGGCTGAGGCAGGGAAACTGCTTGAACCCGGGAGACGGAGGTTGCAGTGAGCCAAGAGTGCAGCATTGCACTCTAGCCTGGGCAACAAGACAGAACTCCATCTCAAAAAAAAAGAAAAGAAAAAAATCAATATTTATTGAGTTAAAAAAAAACCCACCAATGTAATTTGCCATATTAAAAATAACACAATAGTCTCCACTGACACAAAGAAAGCATCTGAAGAAAATACCTAACGTCCGTTCCTAATAAGAACTCTCAGCAAGCTCTGAGTAGGTGGCAACTGCCTGGGCCTGACAGTATCTAGGAAAATCCTGCAGGTAACATACACTGATCTTTGGGGAGAAAGCACTCAGTCTTCTGCCATTAACAAAACATGTTTGCTCTCACCAACTCTATTCAACGTTGTTCTAGAATTCCAGCCAGTTCAACAGGGTGACACACACACACACACCCATGGCATCCAGATAGAAGATGAAGAAGTGGGGATTATCTTTATGTGCAAAAAATTTAACAGTATCTACAAAAAGCTGCCAGAAAGAAGCGAATTTAGAAAGTATGATATTGTAAAATGTTTCGTCTTCTTCCCATTTCCTGACATACAGCTCCTAAAAAGCCTTGGAATCTCCAGAATGATAGAGTTCACTGGTGGCTGAGGGGCCCTAGACAGCTTCAGGATGGGGGGGCTGGTCACTGGGAAGATCAAGGCATGTTAGAAGGTTGGGACTTTCAGCCCCACCCCCAACCTCCAGGGAGGGGAGAGGCACTGAAGAATTGGGAAATGTTCTCACCAGTGGCCAATGATGTAATCAGTCATGGCTCTATAACGAGGCCTCCACAAACACCGAAAAGGACTGGGTTCAGAGAGCCTCCTTCGGGCTGGCAAGCACATCTGCCTGCCAGGAGAAGGGGACACCCCAGCTCCAGGGAACAGAAGCTCCTGCCCTTGGGACCTGTCCCGAGCTCGGCCTGTGCACGTCTTCGTCTGGCTGTTCATTTCACCCATGACCACATCCTTTATTAACAAGCCAGAACCATAGTGAAGTGTTTTCCTGAGCTCTGTGAGACACGCTACAGATTCATCCAACCCAGAAGGGGGTCATGGGAGCCCCGATTTATAGCCGATGGACAGGAGCACAGACCACGCGTGGCCCTGGGATCAGTATCTAAATGGGGGGGCGTCTTGTGGGACTGAGCCCTCACCCCGTGAGGTCTGAGGTCACTCCAGGCGAACACTGTCAAGATGGAGATGAATAGGGGACCCACCCACTGCTGTCCCCTGCAGAACCTGCTGGGGAATCACTCGGTGTGTGGGGAACACCCCACTTATCTAGTCATGGAGTGTTGAGTGACTGTGAGAGTAGAAAGCAGGAAAAACCCATTATCTAGATTCCTACAGAAAGGTTTTGGGATAAAAGATATAGGAGCACCAAACAATCCAAAATTGACATTTAGAGCTGGGCACGGTGGGTCGAGCCTGCAATCCCAGCACTTTGGGAGGCCGAGGCAGGTGGGTCACTTGAGGTCAGGAGTTCAAGACCAGCCTGGCCAACACGGTAAAACCCTGTCTCTACTAAAAATACAAAAATTAGCAGGGCGTGGAGGTGCACCGCTCTTAATCCCAGCTACTCAGGAGGCTGAGGTAGGAGAATCGCTTGAACCTGGGAGACAGAGGTTGCAGTGAGCCGAGATCATATCACTGCACACCAGTCTGGGCAACACAGCAAGACCCCACAGGGTGCAGCTCAGTCCCACAAGACGGACCCCTTCAGATGCCAATCCCAAGTCCAGGCATGGTCTGTGCTTCTGCCAGCTGGCTGCAAACTGGGGCTCCCACGACCCCCTCCTCAGGTTGGGTTGATTTGTAGGGTGTCTCACAGAAGTCAGGGAAACACTTCATTTAAGGTTCTGGCTTATTTTTAAAACTTGACATGTAATAAGCAATACCATTTACAACATCATGAGAAGACATGAAATACAATCATCCCTCAGTGCACGCAGGGCACAGGCTCCAGGACCCCTGGCGTATATCCTATCTGTGCACACTCAAGCCCCACAGTTGGACCTGTGGAACCTGCACGGCCCTCTGTACACGTGGGTTTTGTGTCCTGAGAATACTATATTTTAGATCTGAGTGGACCTGTGCAGTTCAAACCACGCTGTTCAATGGTCAGCTGTGCTGGCGGTAAGGGGGGCCCTGTGAGATGCCCCAAGGAGCTGGCAGGAGCACCAGGGAGCACCCCTGATCTGGGGGGGGAGGAGAGGCCAAGAGGCTCCCCTCAGGGTGCTCAGCACAGACATGGGGCAGGATGAGCCACCATGTCGGGAGGTGGCCAGGACCAGGCTTCGGACTGCGTGTGGGACCCACATAGAGGAGGCTGGGGGAGGAAGGGAAGATGGGAGGAGGGAGGAAGAAGGGGAGATGTGGGAGAGGAAAGAAGGCTGCTGGTGAAAACACTTCCCAGTTCTTCAGTGCCACAGAGGAGCCAGTGGGATGCCAGGTGAGCCAGAGGCGGGGCCCTGGAGCCGAGTGGACAGAAGTGAGGCCCAATCAGATGATGCTGAGGTGTCTGGACAGCATCCAGTTCCTTCAAAGACCCCAGCAGCAAGGACATGAGTGCTTAGGCCCCTAACTGTCCCTAGGAGCATCCCCTTCCAGATCCTTCTCACAGGACAATTCTCACTTCGACACACCCCAATTAAAGCCCATGGCGGGGGGAGCCTGGGAAGGGGCCACCTAGCTTGGCAGCCCTCCAGCCCCTCCCCCAGCTCTCAAACTCACTTAACACCAGGCTTCACCATCTACGCTGTCAACAGAAAAGCACACAGGCCACAGAGCACATCATGGGAACAAAGCTCCTTCCCAAAGGCTGCCACAAGGGGCATCGGTCCCCCTTCCCCATTGGTGGAAACACGGGCAGGCCCAGCACCTCTCCTGCGTGGCACTGTCCTCCCCCAGGCTCCAGGGCCCCCAGCACCTGTCCCCTGGTCAGAAGCTTCTTCTAACCTGAGCTCCTGAGGGCCAGGACTCTCCCCACCCACAGAGGCCGTCGCCAGAGGGGCCCAGGACATCTGTCGGAACATCGGAACACACAGGATGGGGGGCTGCCACTGAACAGCCCAAAAGAGGAGCTCCCGGGGTGGGACCCTCAGGACCACAGTGACGCAGTGATGGCCTCCCCCGTTCGGGGAGCACGTGTCAGCCCCCACCTCCCACGGCTGCAAGGATTCAGCAAGACCCTGTGGGTAGCACACGCCGAGAATATTCCGGAACTTTGTGAAAACCCGTCGTCGTCAGTTGATAAAACTGCACCGCGCTGTTTGCTGTCGTGCAGGAAATACCTCTGAATGCTTGGTGCGCCGGGAAGAAAACCTTGGCCAGGATATTTTTAGCAGCAGCGTCCAGGACCATCTCTCAATTACACAGCAGATGCCGGCAGCACCGTGAGTCAGCGTTGGAGTGTGACGGCCACATGGTACCCGAGCTCTGCATGAGCACCTGGGCAGGCCCACCCCTCCCACACCAGCTGCTCCTGGGCTCAGAAGCCAGCTCTCTCTGCACCCCACCCCCCGCTCTCACAGCTTCTGCTCCCCCAAACATCCCATGCTGTTCCTCACTTCCAGCCCAGCCGTCCACCCCACGCACCCCATCCCGGATGGTCCCTCTTCCCGAGACTGGCTTCTGTAGCACCTGACCCAGAGAACGCCACCACAGGGGCCAGCAGGTGACAAAGCCTCGCTCTACTGAGGACTGGCCACTCTGTCCAATGCCCAGCGGGGCCAGCCAGCCTCTGCTGCCCATGGCTCACCTGGCAGGAGCGGAACTGGCTGACCAGCAGTGTGCACCGCTGGGGGTCCTTCCGCCCGTCCAGGCTGTCCAGCTCCGCGGCCACCTGGTTCAGCTCCTCGTCGGCGTAGTAGAACCGGGCAAGCAGCTGCGGGTCCGACCTCTGCAGGAGAGAGGGGCCGGGGGCATGAGTGGGTGGGAAACTGGAGGGGACGCCTTGGCCATGTGCGGGCTCAGCCTGGGACCTTCCACACTGAGCAGTAGCTGGCTCTTTCATCAGCTTTCCAGGCCAGGATCTGGAGGGAAACAGCTAAAGCTAAGGCTTGGGCTGCCTGCTCAACCCCTGACCCAAGGGTCCCAGGCCCCCTGCATTTCACCCCAGGGCTGTGGGGAACCCAGACGCTTCGCTACACTTAGGACACAAGATCCTCACGCTCCCTCTCGTGGAGGAGAACCCACAGAAAAGGGGCTCTGGGAAGAGTGGGGTCCCAGGCAAGGAAAGTAGCTCTTAGGGAATTTTTTTTTTTTTTTTTTGAGATGGAGTTTTACTCTTGTTGCCCAGGCTGGAGTGCAATGGCACAATCCCAGCTCACTGCAAACTCTGCCTCTCAGCCTCCCAAGTAGCTGGGGCTACAGGCACCCGCTACCACACCTGGCTGACTTTTGTATTTTTAGTAGAGATGGGGTTTCACTTTTCTGGCCAGGTCTCAAACACTGCTGACCTCGTGATCTATTCTCCTTGGCCTCCCAAAGTGCTGGGATTACAGGCTGCTGGGATCATAGGCGTGAGCCATCGAGCCTGGCATATATATATATATATATATATATATATTTTTTTTTTTTTTTTTTTTTTTGAGACAGGGTCTTGCTCTGTTGCCCACACTGGAGTACAGTGGCACAAGCATGGCTCACTGCAATCTCTGCCTCCTGGGCTCAAGAGACCCTCCTGCCTCAGCCTCCTGAGTAGCCGAGACTACAGGCACATGCCAGCACATTCAGCTAATTTTTAATTTTTTCTAGAGTTGGGGCTCCTTGTGTCGCCCAGCCTTGTCTTGAACTCCTGGCCTCAAGCTGCTCTTCCATCCTGGCCTCCCAACGGTGCTGAGATTGTAGAAGTGAGTCACTGTGCCTGGCCTGGACCTACTTTTATCAAAGGGCCTCCTGACAGTCAGAGAGAAAGACAGAGGAGAGGGGAAGGTACCAAATCACTCCCAGTGGGATGTGCTGCCAGTGTCCCCACAGACTCCCATCTCCGTCGGGGCGTTTCCTCCATGTGCTCTGGCCTGCTGCCCTCCCCTTCCCTCTGAGTGGCCTTGGCCAGGGTCACTCTGTCCTGACTTTTTCCCGGTCCACCAGTCCTCACTCTCTGGATCAGCTCCAGGCGCTGGCCCAGACACCTGGGGTGGGGAGAGCAAACCCCAGTGAGGCTGAGCAGACCCACACTCAGCCATCCACTGCCCCGCCTGGGCTTCAGGATGAGGCAGGCACTTGTGACCTGGGCAGCCAATGGGAAGCCTCCCTGGGACTGTTCCCAGGAGGCTGCCGAAGCTCACTGGCAGATGCTGCCTACGTGCCCACTCAGCTAGGGGCGGGTCTGGGCCTGGGACACAGCCCTGAGCAAGACAGACCCAGCCCCAGGCAGTGCATGAGAGATGGGAGGTGGGCTCGGGCTGCCATCTGCTCCCACCCTCTCAGCTCCACTGCTGTGTCCCCGCGCCTCGAGCCTTTCTGGAAGTAAACACATCCTCTCCGATGGCCCAGCCAACCTCGGAGAGCCACGAGGTCACAGTCACCTAGCGACCCACCCTCTGTGAAGAAATGAAAAGAAGAGTGGGGTTGGGAGGCAGGAGACACTCTTACCTTGTTCTATTCTACTCTACTGCCTGGAAGGAAAGAAAGGAAGGCAGGGAACATGAGACCTGAAGGCCCTTCCAGCCCTTCCACTGGGTCAGAGCCCCAGGGAATGCTGTGCCTTTAAGCCTTGTGCCTGTCAACCTACGGACGAGCAGCTGCACCCTTGACCTTTGCCTCGGATGTAGCCCCCATCATTCCTTTTTTTTTTTTTGAGATGGAGTCTCACTCTGCTACCCAGGCCGGAGTGCAGTGGCATGATCTCAGCTCACTGCAAGCTCCACCTCCCAGGCTCAAGCAATCATCCTGCCTCAGCCTCCCAAATACCTGGAATTACAGGTGTGCGCCGGCACATCCAGCTAATTTTTGTATTTGTAGTAGAGACAGGGTTTCACCATGTTGCCCAGGCTGGTCTCGAACTCCTGACCTCAAATGATCCACCTGCCTGGGCCTCCCAGGGATTACAGGCATGAGCCACCATGCCTGGCCCAGTCCCCAGAATCCTGACCCAGCTTCTGGGGTGGCCACCAGCTTCCCCTCCTGGGCCCCGGGCCTGCCAATGCCCCTCCTCGCTCCCAAGGAAGAGGGGAAGAACCAAGAACGACACCTTCTTACCAGAGGACAGAAGAGCCTTCCTGCCACTTCCGGAACCAGGAGGGAGCACAGCCCCTTGGCAAGGTGGAGTTGCCTGCCCCACCTGGGCAGCCTGCCCAAGGCCTGCATGAGAACTGCTGGGCCTGACACCCAGCTCAGGCACCAGTCCAGGTCAGCAGAGCCACTGGCTTCCTTCTGGCCCCAAACCTGCCAGCTCCCTTCATAGCAGAAGTGGGAGGGTGGGAGAAGCAGGGGCCTGGTGGGGCCAGCCCCGCAGCAGACGCCTGGCTGTGACTGAGCTGGACCAGAGCCCTCACAGTCCCTTGCCGCATGCGTCCCACAGCCCCAACTGCAGCTGATGAGACACCATCTGGCCCAGCAAACAGGCCAGGTACTGAATTTAGGGCACTGCATGACGACAGCTCCCAGAAGCTAAATCTTGGCTCCAAGAAAAAGGACACGACAAGGGGCCCTGCAGAAACCCCCAGAGAGAACCCAGAATCATTCTCTGCTGTGGCACCAAAACACTCACACCACCTAAGGAGTTCACAGCAACACCCGGGTCAACACGGCCCCTGCTGTCAGGCAAACGGAGGAGACAGCTCAGCCACAACGCAGGTGTGTGAAAGGCTGATGGAGGGTGGGGCCATCACACAAAGCCCCGGACCACAGAGCGGGTGCACACACATCCCCTCAGCTCACTCACACAGTTCCTCTCCTGTGCTCTGGAGAGGCTGAGAACCACCACGTGTGTGAGCACATGAACATGTACATGTGTGAGCACGTGTGTACGGTAACTGCATGCCCCGTGCATGGCTGTGTGCGTGTGGATCTGTGCGCTGTGCAGATGTGTGTACATGCACGTGCACCTATGTATCTGTGTGCCTGTGAACGTATGTGCAGGCATGAACATGCGTGCGTGTGTGAACGTGCCCCTGTGGGACCAGTGCAGCAGGTGTCAAGACGAGCTCCCGCAGGGGTGAGGTGTGTGTCTACTTGGCAAGGTAAAAGCTAGAAAGGGGTGCTCATCACCTAAATAAAAGGCACGGGACGTAGGGAACCCTTCAGGGATGGGCCTGGTACTTGACCCCTCCTGGCATGCTTGGTGCCCCTGCAGGGAAACCGATTCCCTGCTGCAGAAGGCAGCCTGGGTGTCTCCTGTGAGGAAGGAAGGGGTCCTGCCTTCCTCTCTTGGGGCAGCTGAAGCCTCTGAAAGGTCTCCCCTTGAGCTGAGGTGTCACTGAGCACACAGGTCGCACTGCCAGGGCTGCTTGCTGGTGGGGTGGGCCTGGTGGCACATGAGGCAGATTTGCTGTGTGACCTTATCATAGGCTAAACTGTGACTGCCCCTCAGGTTCAAAGATTGAAGTCCTAACCCCCAGGACTCAGAATGTGACTGTCTGGAAACAGTATCTCCCCATTTTTTTTCTTTGAGATAGGGTCTTGCTCTATCCCCCAGGCTAGAGTACAGTGGCGTGATCACAGCTCACTGCAACCTCGCCTCCTGGGTTCCAGTGATCCTCCCTGAGTAGCTAGGAGGCCAGGTGGCTGCCACTGCACCCAGCCAATTTTTGTATTTTTTGTAGAGATGGGGTTTTGCCATGTTGCCCGGGCTTATCTGGAACTCCTGAGCTCCAGTGAGTCATCTGCCTCAGCCTCCAAAAGTACGGGCATTACAGATGTGAGCCACCTAGCCCAGCCCAGAGATAGGATCTTTAAAGAGTTCATTACGGGACCCAGCCTCAGAGAGACCCGGCCTCAGAGGGACCCGGCCCTGCCATGCGGTGGTCTTGGACTTTTGGCCTCCAGGACTGAGGGAAGAGAAGTTCCTACTCTTCCAGCCACTGAGTCTGGAGTCCTTTCTTATGGCCGCCCAACCTGTGTGGAAGGCCCAGGAGCAGGCTGGGGAGCCAGCCCCCACCCAGAGCTCCCCCACCCCATGCCATGCAGGAGGGCCCAGGAGCCCGGACACCCACTTAGCAAACCCTGCCAGATGACCCTCCTCCAACGTATAACCCCAAATCCGTGGGCCTGTACCACCCCGAGGAAGGGGCTCTTGGGGTGGGCTCAAGCTTCCCTGAAAGACCTGGGGACCCCCGAACATCTGGAAAGACAGCCCCCTCTTAGGCCCTAGACCCAAGCCTTAGATCCTTCACCCACCCCAAGCAAGTGCACGCGTCTACAACAACCTGTGAGGCCATCTGTGGTTCTCTGTGATTTGAGGAGGCCTCCATGATGTCTACAGCACGGGCTCTGACGGTACAGTTGCCTGTGCACGGGAAAGGGACATCTTGAACAGCGTGTCCGAAGCCACCACGCCCGAGAACAGGGAAGGAAGCACTGGGCATCTCCACAATCCAGGAGGAACAACACTTGCCACACCCCACCTTGTGCCATCCCACAATGGGCACCACGGTCACACTGCTGATGACATGGCATCAGTGCCCACAAGCAGACGCCCTGCTGCTTTACCTTGCTTTTCGTAAAGACCTTAAAACCAGACCTACGAAGGTGTTGACCATCTGCAAAAAGAGAGCTGTAATCATACACACTCACACGCACACACACACAGGCACACACAGAGGCACACACAGGTACACACACAGACACAGGCATGCACACACACACACAGAGGCATGCAGACACGCGCACGCACACACACACAGGCACACACAGAGGCACGCACACAGGCACACACACAGAGGCACACAGAGACACAGGCATGCACACACACACACAGAGGCATGCAGACACGCACACGCACACGCACACAGGCACACACAGAGGCACACACAGGTACACACACAGAGGCACACACAGACAGAGGCATGCAGACACATGCACGCACACAGGCACGCACACAGGCACACACACAGAGGCACACACACAGGTACACACAGAGGCACACACACACAGGCATGCACACACACAGAGGCACACACACACACAGGCATGCACACACACAGAGGCACACACACACAGGCATGCACACACACAGAGGCACACACACAGGCATGCACACACACACAGAGGCATGCAGACACACATGCGCGTACACACACACAGGCACGCACACACGCACACACAGAAAGCCTGTGCTATTTGGAAAGCTGAGTTAGTCCCTGAGCTAGTGTCCCGGCCCTTCAGGACTGGTATTTCAGAGGAAGAGGCCGGGGTTCCTGCCTGGGTGGTGCTGGGGCGGGAGCAGGAAGGGGTCTCTATTCCTTGTGTCAGTCATCCCACCCAGATCCCTCAATGTGAGCAAAGACCTCCAGACAGGGGTCCCAGGAAATGAATTAACACAGCTTACAACATTCAATTTGTCCTGCTTAACAGAATCAAGAAGAAAATTTGGGGCCCTAAATTTCCATTTCTAAGTATGCAGAGTATGAAGCAAACAATTATAATCCCAGTCTACTCATCAGTTAGTGCTAAATCCGTCTGGCGTGACTGGGCTCACCCTCAAGTGAGCCTTCGGGCAGGACACATGACTGGGGAGGGAGCGCTGCAGCACTGACAAATCCTCTCCCTTTTTGATTCGAAGCCACCAGCTTTATTCAACATTTTACAATTTCATTTTAAATTCAGTTTTTAAATGTCCTTAGATACAATGATATAAAGGGAATCAACCGATATAAGTAGGAAGTACTCACCTTGTTTTCATTTTTGAAATAAAAATTGTAAAATAATAAATGAGAACCTAGTAGGATTCTCTTTTAAAGCCACACTGCGTCAATATTTTCTCAAAGATGAATTCATTGCAGAGAAAGTGTTCACTGTTGACAGAAGTCAGAAAGAAACGCCGTAAAGAAGGCATTTCGTTCAGGAGGTTAGGTGACTACTGAAAAGACACCCTCAAAAGGGCAGGAGAAAATACACACCAGCCCAGCAGTGCCCGGTTCACAGAGGCAGGATGGACTGAGTCTGGCTAATTTCGTAAAGCTGATTGAACTGTCAATTCGTTCAAGCCCCCGTCCCTAACGTGAGCTGTGGTTGCAGAAGCGGCTGCAGGTGGGAGGTGTGGGTGGAAGGCAGGAGCAGGTGAGAGACGCAGTGCGCACGTGTGGGCTCGCCTGTCTGACCCACGTGTGATGACCTTGGAGTGTTTCCTGGCAGTTACGAGGGCTGGCGGCCGGCGCAGAGTTTATACACACTACACCACCTGCTGGGGCGGGCCCCAGCCACCTTGAGGCCCAGGAAGGATGGGACTCCAGCCCTGCACAGGGCACAGGAGCACAGCCCATCACACCATGCCTTCCACCCGGGCAAGGAGACTGAGGCTCCCGAAGGTAACTCACGGCCAAGGCCACGTTGCTAGATGCCAGGGAGCCAGATCTCAGCCCCAGTGTCACTAGAACCCTCTGGCATCTATGTGGGGAAAGAGGGGTAAGGGCCCAGGGCCGGATCCTTTTTATGCTCTTGCTTGCTGAATATAACGTAAATCCTGCAGGTGGGCGTCTTAAAGGGACACCTTGTCACTCCAGGGCAGCAGCATCACAGTCTTGGCCAAGCTGCTGGGGGGGAAGTGGGGACGGGAGCAGGTAGGTGGTGGGACAGATGGGAGGGCAGGCAGCATGGCCAGGCCAGAGAGGACCCAACCCACCCCATGGGCCCCGGCAAGGGAGGGAAGCCCAGCCCAGCTCCTGCTGCCTCCCTCCCCACACAGCTGAACTCAGGACATTGCTGGGTCCGAAGCTCCAGTTCCCAAGACAGACCACCCCAGACAGCCAGCTCCCTACCCCCACACCTCCCACACTCAGCCTGGGGACTCAGGTGGGTTTGCCTCCTGGATATCAGCAGATCTCCAGGAGACAGTGGCCACAAGAGGACTTCAGCTGGACGAGGCGGGAGCATGTAGGGGTGAGGACCAGGTGTCCGAGGCCACCCTGGGCCTCTCCTGGGCCAGCTTTCCATTAAAGCCTGGGTCTCCTCACTCCAACACCAGGAATCCAAGAGCATCTCGAAGAAGCCAGAGAAGAGCCTCTGCCCGGGGCACCCAAATGCAGCCCCACAGCTGTGACCCCCCACATCGGCTGTTCCTAAACCCCCTCCATGGCCAGCTAACTGTGGAGGAAGCCCCTCGACCCCTCCACCACGGGGCAACAACCCTCCCCAGGGCTGGACCTGTGCACTGCTGCCAATCAGGGGTCCAGCCCTTCCTGTAGATCCCCAAGCCCTCCAGTCGGCACTGAGGCCTGACGTCCACGACCCATGTCCCCGAGGCAGACCTCATCCACAGCAGATGCCCCAGGGGCTGCCAGGCTGAGGCCCCGCTGACCTGGCAGCACCACCAGCCACACGCTGTGGATCTGGGGTGGCAGACAGGTGCCTGCTCCTGTGGTGCTGGGCACAGCCTGCTGCCATGCCCACCCCAGTGCTACTATTGTTGCTCCTGCTCCCTCCCCATCCATCCGTCCACCTTCTCCACCCCGCTCTGGGGCCAGGGAGCTGCAGTGGACATGCTGGGTCAGCGGGAGGCCTGGCAGGGAGTAGGGATGAGATTGTTCTGCCCACTTCCTGCCTTGGCCTCCTGCTGACCCCATCCA